CGCTTCAGTATCCGTAACAGGCGATCAGCAAACAACGGGTAGTACTCTAGCAAAGGAGCGTTCAGCTGTGGCACCCCTCCGGTGCCTCACTGCCATGCCACCCGAAGGGAGCACGAGGGCTGGGATACTGCCAGGTTGCCCAAGCCCAGACAGGGGAAGTCGAGAGGCGGAGGTCGGATTCAAACCACGGACCTTCCGGTCAGTAAATTCGCGATCTAACCACTTAGGCCATCTCGCTCTAGCAAACAATATGTCACGGCACACATTTCTCACTCTCGATGGATGCATCCTAGAGCACGTTTGGATACGACTTAGAAACATAGTGTCACGAAGAGACTGGACCTTATCGTGGTGTGGCGGTTTGTGTACCTCGGCGACCCATTGAGCTATACTGGGGGGTGTCCGCGCGACACTCACAGAGTCTCTCATACCAGGTTGGTCCATGGGTAGAGGTCTCCTAGTCCTCCAGGTTGGGGGTTGGAACATGCATGGCGACTTGTTCCGTAGAAAAGGCAATGCATTTGCACTTCCCCGCCAAACATCGCTGCCTTGCGGTTAGGCTTTTGAGCCAAAGGCTTTGGTTGAGGACCCTAATCGTCCTCCTGTCTAGGTCTGGGCGCCCTGGCAGTATCCCAGCCCTCGTAAAGCCATGACCTACACAACTGATGATGATTCTATTTATTGACTTCAGTGGGTGGCCATCCTCAACATTAATGAGTGGAAACTTGTCAGCTGATTATCATGATTATGTGACTAGTTTTCGTGATACAGTCGCCCTATGTTTAACTACCAACCGTGCAACATAAAATAGTCACAGCCGTACAACAAGGCCTCTTTTCATCCATCTGGCAGAGACTGAGACAGTTAGTCATGAGTTTGTATGCCGTCAGCATTTGCCTTGAGATATTAGCCACTCTGTGGGTCTTCGTCAAAAAGAATAGGAAATATGAAGAGCCCTATGATTGTTTCCCCTCTCTGACAGCATATTCTAAGGAGAAACGTCAGAGGGGGGATACAATTTCCAGTGCTGTAAGTCGAACGAATAATGAAAATCATAATAATCGCTCAACTGTAAAACCCTTCCAGTTCCTAGCTGCCATGCGTCCAGAAGGAAGCACGAGGACTGAGAGACCGCCAGGTTTCTCAAGCCCAGACAGGAGCAGAGGTTGTGTTCGAGCCACGGACCCTTCGGTCAGTAAGTTCGCGCTTTTAACACCGATCCATCCCAAAAAAGCTAGGTTATCTCGAAACAATAGGCAAACAAAAGCGACTGTAAAAGCATGAATTACCTGTCGTGCGGGAGTCTTCGGATTCCGTAACATTCACGCCAGCTTTACAACACCCAATAGCAACCACCCAACGTTGCCGGTCTCCCCGAGACAACGCTCGTAGATAGAAGCGCTGCTCACCCAATAACAAATCGAATCGTCTCGGGTCTGTCGTGTGGACTAAATGCGATAAGAAGATAACAGTTTTTCTGTAGGAACACAAAATGAGAACAGCTACCAATCAGATCACAGGATGACAGCCTCAAAGAGCCTTTACACCCGCTATTCACTTCTTCTTGAGACTGGTAATAAGACAGGATACCGTCCTTGAGTGTAAACCATCGTTGCTGCCAACCAGTCATATAGTTTGTCCACTTTAACAGAAAGCCTTCCATGGCAGGACGGCCTAAAATAATAAAACGCAATGGTGTCAAATAAGAGGAACAGTACAACGTAGAATATAATACGACACAGCTGAAATGAGTTTTGTAAATCGCAGGTACATCATCATACGGGGTGATATATGGGTTGTGAACCTCAAAGAATAAGTAAGCCACCGCTCAGCTGTAATTCAATCTCGGTAGCTATCTGCTAGGTCACTCGAAGGAAGCAAAAAGAGAGATGTCCTTGTCGTGGTGTTGCGATTCATCAACCTTAGTGGCTCATTGAACCATACTTAAGGGTTTCCCTATGATACTAACAAGACATCTTACGCCAGGTTCGCTCCGGTCGTCAGCCTCGATTGCTGGGCCAGTCAAAGCTTCCTTGGTGTTCGTGAACGTAAGATGCGCCCCAGTGAAGTGTTGCGCGGACAGTTCAGTCCATTCCTGCTCAAAAATGATGATTTCACTTTTTGTCTTAATAGGCCCCTGAAGCTGTTCCCTGTTCCTCTTCCTCTGGCTCAGGTATGCATAACTACTTGTTCCTGCACCTTTCGCCGCCGGTACCAGCTTTTCCTCGTATGCTCGCATTTTGCCAGCAACCATTCGTTTGCAGGTGTCCCCAACCTTTTTGTATTAGTAACGGATATCCAGGCAGCTGTTCTGTTCGAAATGCCACCACTGTCGTCCTAGGTTCTAAACACTGTGACATCCAAGGTGGCGATAAGGAGATATCAGTGGTCTGCAGTTTTTCGCTGCAATTGGCACATAGCTTTATGGAGTTTATCTCTGTTTCCACATCTCAGAAGGCGACAGAACTCTCCCGAAAGTCCAGTTTGACGAGTACCACACAACTTCGTCGACAGCCCACTAAAGGTTTCGCCCTTCTTGGAACTCACCAGGTAGGCACAGCCCCCAAGTTTCCGTCAGCCTTATGTTCTACTTGAAACCGAATTGCGCGAAATTAGCGAAATACACTCATTTGGAAACTAATTTGATTTTTCGAGAGACCCACCTGGAATTCAGCTGAATCTCTCGTTTGTGATATTTCCAAAATACTGAGTGTGCTGCACCAGGCCGCCTCATGTTTCAGTCACTACGATATTCGAGATATCGCGATACATGTTTATTTGTAATGCACTGCTAATGAGGTTGCTGAAAATTCGTAGACAGCCCACGACCGGTTTCGCCCTTCTTGGGGCTCATCAGGTAGCCACAGTCCCCTGAGTAGTGTATTACAAATATACATGTATCGCGATATCTCGAATGCGTAGTGACTGAAGATAAGGCGGCCTAGTGCAGCACATTAAGTGGCCTGGAAACATCACAAACGAGAGATTCAGCTGAATTCCAGATGGGTCTCTCGAAAAACCAAATTAGTTTGCAAATTAGTGTTTATTCGGTAGCACACAACTTATTGTAAAAGTCTTTCTATTGGGGATGCCGGTCATCAACTCCAGTGGAAAAACTGATTGAAGTCATCTACCCACAAATCGAAATTTCGTGCTGCGGGAGGCTCAGCCTTCGGATAAGTCCCTAGAAATCCAAAGACTGACGATGGAATTGTGGAACGTTATGGAACACCATGGAAGTTGCACTGGCTCTGACGGTAATGTGAGTGACGAAATCAACCCACGAATGTCAAAGGTCATCACTATCAGCTCGTTCAGTTGTAACACCCTTCCAGTGCCTAACTGCCAAGCCATTCGAAGGAAGCACGAGAAATTGAATGCTGCCAGGTTGCCCAAGCTTGGACAGGGAAAGTCTAGATGCAGAGGTCGGGTTCGAACCCTTCCGTTTGTAAGCTCACATCTTAACCACGAAGTTATCTCGAGCCCTTATCATCAGCGACAGAACAACATTAGTGTTCAACACTGAGGCGTCGCTGCCGTACAACCATAGATTTTCGGAAAGTTCATTTTGACAAGAAATAAAGGATGGGGAAGGGACTGTGTGATAGCCCACTACAATAATTTCAAGGTGCCTACATCCCCAGACATCCATTCAGACATTCTAATTTGAAGCTGACAACAAGAACGTCATTTATATCGATTGGCGGTCATACCTTGCGGCGTCTCCAACCATGCACAGAGAGGATCACGTGGACCGCATCCCAAAAAACAAGTTTCGTCGACAGTACCCAGACGTTTCCTAATCTCCTTTATACCTCTGCCAGGTAACTAGTTGAACACCTCTGTTTCCACGGAAAACAACACTCTCTCCGGAGAATTAATCAGGATATGCAGTGCATGGACAAACCATCGTGGCTTTTGTTGCTGCCGTTTCAAACGTCAGAATTGTCCTTACCAATTTCCGCCATTTATGACATCAAAAAGGTACAGATTAGTATCCCATAGGGAGCGTATATCAGACTACAGTGCAGGGTGTGTATACGGGTTGGTGTTTGACTGCGATACCTGACCACTTCGAGTGGGGGATCCGAGAAGTCTTCAGGTCGTTGACCACCGAACTATAACTGAAATCGGCTGGAACCATCGAACTCGCAATGAAACGACCAGGGAACTGGTCCCCAGTGGAGATAAAGGCATTTTACCAAATGTATCCGGCGCTGAAGGCCCTATACGGCATGGTACGGGGTATGTCTTTGGGTCCTGGTCCCACTGAAATGCTCCCATTCGACCTGCTGAGATCCTACGCGCCGTCGTCTCGTGGCATATAAAGGGCGAAAGCGGGTGTCATGCGCTATAACGTGGTCGATACTTCATCGGTTGTTCGTCTAGGGGAGGCGGACAAGACATGACTGCACACTAACAACGTCGATAACACAAATCAGCTCCGGTAGGTTGAATGGATGAGATCACCATCCGAATCCAACGGGCATGTAGGTGTGGCTTATCCCGATTCTCTGAATTTTTCCTGATGCCCTGAGGGTTGCGCTTATTGTGCAAATGCTAGAGGTGTACCCTTGGTCAAAAGCCGAGTGGCGCTGGGGAAGCAAACCCTAAGAAATTTCTGTGGAACTCGTGATAGTGTTACTATCATACACTACCGTTCAACCTACTGCGTTCCTGTTAAGTGATGCACTCGTTGCAGGCACCACGGCTGAGGTGGTCAGAAGGCAACCAGCGGTTATCTGAGTAAGCAAGCAGCTCCGAAGCACCTGTTGGAATGTTTGTAACTTACTGTACGCTTTGGACCAAGGCATTTTATCGCGTACTCTTTACAACCATCGACCACATACTAGCTGCGCTTTGCAAACCCAGTTACCCAACTCTGGTACACCACAAATCAAGGTTTCTAGGTCAAATGGATCCTACTGGCTTTATTACAGCGTACAACTCGGGTACCTAAGGTGTTATTGCCGGAGAAGCCCCCGTAACAGAGCACTCACCGTTGGCAGTATGAGGAAATCCGGGAACTTTCAACTGAGATATCGTCCTGCAAATGAAACCCATTTATGGGGAAATACCCAGAAGCACTGAGTCACTTCATCTTCATTTGGAATCGTCCGCAACATGTACCTCACCAAATTCCAGGAATTTCAAACCTGCGACGTACTGGCCAGTGGTCTGAACACTTAACAGTTCTGGCGTGAGCAGCTGATCAGCAATGCGATTAACCTGTCCTTTGATCAAATACCTCACCAAGAGGTCATGTGTTCACTGGCTCCTAAAGTGACGATTTCTCAAATGGAAGTTCCACTCGTCGTGTGAATTATTTAACTACTGAGCAACTTTTGAATTTTTAATTAAGCATCCTTATTGGTTCATCTCACTTGGCTGGGATGGTCTCCTCAACCAAGACAGAAATAAGTTGGAGAAACTAACCAAGAATTCTGTCCCGTAGAGTCAGTAGGTGTGTCAGGATCAGTATTTCGATGAAACTTGAAAGATCAAGGACAACTGCGTATTTCTGAGGCTGATAGAGGCCACAAGTTTATTATTCAAGACGGCGTTTAGGGTCCGGATTGAGCAATTGCAGGCCAGACAGATTGTTGTTAAGAATACGCAACCCAACGGTTCATGCGATCCTGAATTTACAGAATTCGACAGGGATACGAGGTCTTCGGCAACCTACTGTTTAGCGAAAGCCAGCAGATGCTGCGCGCAGACTTCATTCAAGGGTTGATTATAAACCCTCTCAGTGCAGTACAGGACTCAGAAAATGATGAAACAAGTATTAAGATTTGTCGAGCCAGAAATAGTTGTTGAAGGTAAACATCACTCATCTCAAGCTTGTATAGCAACGGGGATAATCAGTTTTATGTCAGAATGCTAGGGCCCAAATAATTAACTTATTATCAAGATGAATAAATCGCTATGAACTGGGAATAAGTGGGAAACATATCCACGTGAAAGGACGCAGAAGACTGAAGGTCTGTGGTTAGTTAGTTACTTATCTTGGATTCCGAGACAAACGCTAGAAGAAATCGAAAGGGACGATCAATAAGCGTAACGTATACGCAATCGTCAAAAGTTCAAGCGCAAGCACAACGATATTCAACACCATAATCTAACGAGTGGGTATTACTATAAAAACGGATCTAGGTTATCCCACCCTTCGGAACGTTCTGTGTACCCTCTGGTTCCAAGCACATGCTGTGGGAAGCGCATTCATTTGACGTTGTTCTAAAAAAAATTTAATAACATAAACTATAGGTTGTGGAATTTGCACTGACTGACGGCATGGTGACAGACAGAGTTGAAGAACGTATATCAAAAACCATAGTTGTGACTGCCAATTTGTACCATTCGGAGAAGGCGTGCCGTCCGGTCCAAAAGGGCACACGTACCAGATCGCAGTGTGGGGTGCATCGCTGCACGGTTGCAAGAGTTTACCAATGAAGGAGCATCGGAGATGCTTTTAAGTCGAGGGAAAGCGGGATGACTCAATTGCTGGGGGGTGAATTTGCTAATTGGAAGGTCCGTGGTTCGAACCCGTCCCCTACTTCTCGACTTCCCTGGGCTTGGGCAGCCTGTCAGTATCCCAGCCCTCGTACTTCCTTCGAGTGGCATGGCAGTTAGGCACGAAATGGTGCTACAGCTGAACGAGTTTTTTAAGTCCGACCATCTAGAACAGTAGCTCGAATCGCTGGAAAATGAGGCATTCTCTCAAGACTCCAAAACCTGCAAGAATGTTTGCGGCAACGAAGGAATAAATGGAACTGATGCAAGTTAAGCGCTTTTAGATTTTCGACTATTTTACCCAGTCGAATTGTCAGACAGAACGATCTGTTAACTCCAAAAAGTTTGCTCCAGAAGCCCGTTTAAAGTGATAGGAGTAGATTTTACAGCTTCTGTCGATACAACACACATCACCTCGAATTTGATTGACGAGTTTTCACTACCAGTCACTTACCCGAAAACTTCAAACGCAGTAAGCGGCTGTGTGACCAAAAAAGTGATTGAGCCATGGAACAAGTCCACCGAAGAAGTACTTTATTCAGAATAACCGTTGGCTTCTTCAGGGAAACCCTAACAGTTCTCGAACCTGACTAAAGCAAGCGACGTTTTAGGTGAATGAAAGTGCAGAGTATTAACCGACACGGCAGTGACGCGAAAGATTTAATTTGCTCAAGCCGAGTCAGCAGGAGACCAAATAAGTCGAAAAATGAGCACATCCTGTCCTACGAAACGAGCGACCTGAGATTAGAGATGCCCTAGACAACAAAGATTCCGGCGCCGCTGATTGAATCCTGTGGGGTTTACTCAACAGTTGCTGCATCAACTGCTCCGTTGAAGGCTCAGTCAGAGCATGCGCCACAAACACGATTCGCATGACGGTGTGGTTACTAAATGTGGACCCCCGACGTGAACACTACGTAAACGGATATTAAGGGAAGGATGACAGAAAGAAGCCTTCGTTAAGATCGTGTTGTCGGCCACAGGTGGTCGGTGCAACGACCATTTGGCATAACCTACACGTGATTGGTCCTCCTGGGGAACACCGACAGGCTGAGTTCCGATTGGATTGTTACACAGGATCGAGGCTTTCGCCCAAGCTTCCCGGGTTAAGTTTGTCCTTATCGTTGAGAAGCATCTGTTCGGCTGGAAGGTATAAACGGAAAGGGCGTAACACTGCTCTCTGTTCTTCACGGATTCACAGCTTAACTGAGGTCTACTACATCAAACTAACAGGAAAGTAAGATTAAGGATCACCACTCGCCAAGTCAGTTCTCAGTGAGGGGCGGTATGCCTGCCAGCGCGAGGATTCGCATAAATAAATGCCTAATAGTGCTTTAAATTGGGTTCTAGAAGGAGCGCGGACAACCGTCGGAGGAAGGTCATTCCAAGCAGCTACTACCCGAAATGAAAAAAATTTTGTCTAATGAATGTGTGTGCCCTGAGCTTTAAAAATTTTTTACTATGTCCCCGCCGGGTGTTTTCTGGGTCAACGGTAAAAACCTATTTGCCAAGCTTTGTTCAAACAGGGCGTGAGTAAGAATTAGGTCCCCTCGGAGGCGACGGTACTCCAGGGGAAAGAGATCAAGCATCGCGAGACGCGTTTCGTATTCCACGGATTTGAGGCCGGCAACCATTCTCGTAGAGGCCCTCTGGACACGCTCAATGAGGGTGACGTCTTTCGTAAGTCCTGAGTAGACAACTTGGTTGGCGTACTCCAGGAGCGGTCTGACGTAGGCCCCATAGAGTATTTGGAACTGCATGCAAGTAATACGGGAGAAGGTGCATCGGATCATCCGTAAAATGGCGAATGCCTTTTGGGCCGATTTCTCATGGTGCAGTGAGAAAGATAAGTTTGAGGAGACCCAGATGCGCAAATCCTTTTTGGCATCTATCCTCATGATGTTTTCTGGCCCCTTTTCACCATGCATAACAAAGGCATTCGCTGAATCCCCTCCAAACGACATATGGACACACTTTTCATCATTCAGAGGAAGGTGTCAGTTCAACCACCACTGCTTGGAGGGCACTGGAATTGGAACTTCAGGATTTCAGTTGGTGCGCGAAAAGTAGACATAAACTCACAAGAACGTCTGGGAGGTCGTTGACGTATATCAGAAACAGGAGTGATCCCAAGACGGGGCCTTGAGGAAATCCAATGGAGACCGGCGCTGGAGAGGAATAGGTCGAGCCTATTCTCACTCGGAATAATCTTTCTGATAGGAACGCCTTGATCCAGCGAAATTTTTCCCCTTGAATCACGTAAGACTTGAGGTTGTTGAGCAGCGGGATGTGTGGGAGCCTATCAAACTATGGCATCCGATATAAGTCCTTCGTCCTTGGCTTGGGTTAAGCTGTCCATAAACACGAGCATGTTTCTCACTCAAGAGCGGATTGGGAGAAATCCGTGTTGAGCTGGAGATATCAGGTTGCTGGAATTAAGGTGATCTAGGATGGCTCGCTTCAGAATGCGTTCCATCAACTTGCACGGCACGCTAGTGAGGGTTATAGGCATGCCGCTGCCAGGCGATAGTCGGTCACCAGTTTCGTAGATTGGCGTGACAATCGCTTCCTTCCAAGCAGAGGAAAGGCGGCCTTCGTCAAGCGACTGACGAAACAGGATGAGTAAATGGTTTGTCAGTGTGGAGGACGTTTCTTTCAGGATCCCTCGATGGACCTCGTCGGGCCCCAACGCGCAGAATGGGTTGATCTTGTGCAAGAGTTGACGAATGTCCTCCACCGTGAAGACCAAGCCGGTTAGAGGCCGTTCGTAGTTTCGCCTTGACAAGTGTGGATGTGACGAGGATGCTGGGGCTGAGTATAGACACGCATAGTGTTTTCTGTAAGCCTCAGATACCACTTTTGGGTCATTTGTCGGTTCTCCGTTTCTGTCCCTCAAGGTGAACGCGGATGGCTTGTTTCTGCGATGATGTCTCATGTAATTTAACAGTACGATTTTGTTTTATCGAGTGAGGTCGAGAATGGTGGCTTGTTTTCGTATTTTCCACTGGCGGATTCCCGATTTACAGCGGTTCCGCATTTTACGGAATGCCAGCACGATTCCCCAACTGAAGCGGCGTTCAAAAGTGCTTTGAACTGGGCACAAGATGCGGCGCGACTAACGGTCGGAAAAAGAATATTCCATGTACTAGCTACCAAAATTAGAAAAACTTTTCTAACAAAAGTGTGCGCAGTTAACTTAAAAATCTTCCCACAATGTCCCGCTGTGAGCCATTTGGGTCAAAGTTAAAAAAATCCCGTTTGTCGAACCTTGCTCATACAGCGCGTGATTGTCTATTAGGTCCCCTCGGAGGCGACGATACTGCTGGAAAAACATATCAGCCACCGCAAGGCGGCTCTAGAATCAGCGGATTTAGTGCCAGCAACCACTTTCGTAGTGCCTCGTTGGCTACGATCAATGAAGATAAAGTCTTTCATGGGGTATTCATGAAGCGGTTTGACGTGGGCACCATAGAGTGACTGGAAGTCCATGCTAGCAACACCGAGGACGTTTCGCCGAATCCTCCGTCACAGGGCGGATGCCTCTTGAGACGTTTCTTTACAGTGCATTTGGAGCGTGTCCGAAGATAGCCCTATACCTGAATCCTTTTTGGTACCTTTCCTCGTAATGTCTTTTGATGCATTCATAACATGCATGACAGGAGCCTTCTTTGAGTCCCCTTCGAATGACATGAACACGTTTTTCGTCTTTCAGGCGATGGTGCCAATCCAACGACTACTACTGATCAGCGTCCATAGGCTTACTGCATATGTGGTTCCGGAACAGTGGCGTGAATAACGCCATTCGTCACTAAACCAAAAGGATGTAGACAGGGTTCTTTTAGAACTTGATTACAATTCGGAATTTACTTTGCATGCCATGTCAGGCTGAGAAAATTTGGAATGCCCAATCAATGCAGCCTTGCAAGATCCTCGTACTCGGTGAGAAGTTTCTGAAGCATCAACTCTGAATCCTATTCAATTTGATTCATCAGCTGAGTAAATTCATCGTGTGGCTTATGAAGACCAGGACAATACCCGGTTTGGATGACCTGATCGGCTGTTATCCGCTACACCTGGCCTATGGTCTACATCCACAGGATCCCCAAGCGGAACAAGAAACCTGCAATCTCGTATCGGCTTCGTTCTACCTTTGTATCCTTAGCCACCCTGAAAAGAATCCCACCGCTCAAAGAATCGAACATCCCAGCGCAGCGTGTCGATCACGCATACATCAAATAATGTCCACCGTCTATGGCGCCGTCCCTTTTCCCATTTTCTCTTACCCACAAACTTCGCCAGTAATGCTTTTATTCTGACCGTAACATTATGATCATGCCTGACGATTTGCTACCCACATGTTGGGAATACACATTATTACTATTGCGTTCCTCAAGATCGAACGATATTTTTCGTGATGAGACCAGAGGCTCCAAGCTACAAATGCTTGCATCACATTCGGGCTTGGTTTCGTTTTTTTGGTTGTTTTAATTTGGAAAAGGATTCCTTTGCTCTCTAATCTATTCTCAGAGTTAACAGGTGTCATTATATTGAATTATTCATTCCAGCACTATCTGTGCATGAAACTCCGTCAGATCGAGGTACGTCCANGGAGATTGTCTTGTGTCCTCCTTGAAAATTACGTTGGTTGGATGCGGGTTCGTAATTGCGTGAATGGGACGAGTACTTTGGGGTAGCCCGCGTACTGTTCTCCGTAGACTTCAGATATAACTATTGGGCCCACTGCAGGTTTTCAGTTTCTATCCTTCAAGATGAATGCAATTGGCTTATTTCTCTGGAGAAATCCCATGTAATAAATCGGCATATTTTCGCTTTTCCGTGCGAGCTTCAGTATTGTGGCTAGCCATCGAATGCTTCATGAACGGATTTCTGATTTACGGTGGTCTGAATTTTACGAAAAACAAGCTCGTATTTTGTGTCATCTGTAGTTATATTTTGAAAAAAATATTAGGGAGCCTTTTTCCGAAAGACGCTTAATCTTTTAGGAAGATTCTTGTTCATCGGCTTTTTGCTGTCTTCTCTGGAGGCGAACATCACATCAGCCTCGTGGAATTCCAGACAATGGTCCTGCATAACTCATCTACTGGAGTTGGTCCCAGTTGTGTTTTGCTCAAGGAAGCTACTCATTTCTGGGAAGTCTACACGGGTTTCTTCCGGCGGGCTTGAGTGGAGAAGGCAGACCATACATAGACTTAGGGAATCAGCCCCACGCAGCGGAATTCGAACCAACAGCGCATCACAAAAAGGTACATGAGTGGTGTTGAAGAGAGCGATCATGATTGGTGGTGCTGCATGTAAGCATGTAAGCGACCACAACGGCCTCCCCTCGTTTTGAGTAAGCTCGAAAACGGGGTAGATGCCAATGGAGATCTCCGCTTTGGAGACACCTGGCGTGAACTGGGTCTCCGTAATTACGATATGGATGGCTGATGAAGGCGAACTGACTCTAATACCAGTAAGTTTGTTGAAGAGACTGAGCCAGTTTGTGGATAAGTACCTCAGTACCATCTCTCGTAATTACGGGATGGCTGATGAAGGCGAACTGACTCTAATACCAGTAAGTTTGTTGAAGAGACTGAGCCAGTTTGTGGATAAGTACCTCAGTACCATCTCTGCTACGTCCAAAGGTGGGAGCTGATGATTTTGCCACCAGAGTTGTCATCGAATTTGGCAGCTGTAAGACAGGATTAAGTACGCTGTTTGCCATCAAGAGCACAATGGACCATTATCTTGGGATTGGTCACCAAGCAGAATTGTGTTACGCGCCTCCACTCGAGGGCTGTTGTGGGTCAGTTTCTGCTCCTCCACATGCCAATCCATGGGTATGTGCTTAATCTTTGAGCAGGCCGTTCAAGGGCTGTCAGTTAGCAATAAGGTTCTCTGTACGGCATTTGGCGAGGAAAGGGTGACTAGAACCCCAAATGTTCGCTCGCTTCCCTTTTTGCATGACAACTCTGTGTAAAGAGATTCATTTTCAGGCTTTGTGACGATTTGGCCGGGTTGGTTGGCATGCTCGTTTTGGAAAAAACCCACAGATCATCAACCTTCTCTCCTTCATGCGCTTGTCCACTGATGACGACAAGGCACACCGCATCAAAGAATCGGATAAACTTTTTCTCAACCAACAGACCCGAAATGGATAGTGCTGGGCACTATTTTAGGGGGAAAGTTCGTTGCCAACGTTCGTTCGGGTCGCCTGGTTTCTGGAACTTTCGAAAGAAGTATCACTTATTATCGAGCATCCTGAATGAAACAGGACACTCAAACTGGTCTTTCTCATTCAGGAGTGGACATTTGATTTCTTTTACGATGGATGTCTAATTGCGGAATGCATCACACTCCTTTAGACAGATGCAGCTGGAGAAACCAAACAGTCAGGAGAGTCATATAATTGGCTGAAATGGTTGTCCTGCGAACCTGTACATTTGAAAAGCAGTCAGGCCTGGCAGGCGTGACATTGCATTCTACGTCCAACAGGGGGTGGGCAGCCATCTCGTCAGCATTTGTTGAGGGCCAGCGATGGTTGTAGACGATAATGGCCTACAATATTCTGGCTCATGACTGAACGTGGACGTACCGCGGAAATAGAGTTCGATCTGACGGAGTTTCATGCACAGATAGTGCTGGAATGAATAATTCAATATAATGACACCTGTTAACTCTGAGAATAGATTAGAGAGCAAAGGAATCCTTTTCCAAATTAAAACAACCAAAAAAACGAAACCAAGCCCGAATGTGATGCAAGCATTTGTAGCTTGGAGCCTCTGGTCTCATCACGAAAAATATCGTTCGATCTTGAGGAACGCAATAGTAATAATGTGTATTCCCAACATGTGGGTAGCAAATCGTCAGGCATGATCATAATGTTACGGTCAGAATAAAAGCATTACTGGCGAAGTTTGTGGGTAAG